TGTGTGTGTGTGTGTGTGTGTGTGTGTGTGTGTGTGTGTGTGTGTGTGTGTTGGTATTTGTATATGTGCGTGTATATCGCTTGTTTCCTAACCCTAAGAACCTAAGAAAAAAACCTGTTGTCCCTGTGCAGACCTTAATATTTAGTTTGATAATTATTCTCTCTCTCTGTCTCTCTCTGTCTCTCGCTCTATCCCCCCCCCTCTCTCTCTCTCTCTCTCTCTCTCTCTCTCTCTCTCTCTCTCTCTCTCTCTCTCTCTCTGTGTGTGTGTGTGTGTGTGTGTGTGTGTGTGTGTGTGTGTGTGTGTGTGTGTGTGTGTGTGTGTATGTGTGTGTGCGTGCGTGTGTGTGAATTTATAATACGTGTGGCATCGTGGTGAAATCAGGGACTCGTAAAAATAATGCAATCAAAGAAACGAGCAATTTTTTAAATTCATTGAACAATTTGTTTGTTTGAATCGACCACACCACCCATTCATCCATTTGTCCATATCAACACCTAACACCTAACAACTCACATGCCCAATCAACTAATAATTCATCTATTAGTCTGCTCAACAATTCATCCATTAGTTCTCCCCATTCCCCACAATTCATCCATCTGTCCACCCTAACACCTAATAATTCATCCGCCTGTCCACCCTAAAAACTAACAATTCACCCATCTGTCCACCCTAAAAGCTAAGAATTCATCCGCCCCACCAGCCTACAATTCTCCCGCTCCACCAACCGACAATTCATCTACTAGTCTGCCTAACAATTCGTCCATCTGTGTCCACCCCACCATCTAACAATTCGTCCGTTATACCTAGTCTCATAACAAACCACTCACGAATTTCATCCTGGGTACAGAACAAATCTCCGATGGTCAAGTTGGCCAAATTGAAGGTTGTGAAACGCCCAAATGTGAAGGAGCCCACGGGCAGGAACTCTTTGGCATCGATGATACCGGCATCAGAGCGGGGCTCGCCGTCAGCCACGTCACAGTTGCAGTGTCTGAAGAAAACAACTCATTAACATTTTTTTTCCGTCAGCCAGCAGCTAAAAATTTTCAAAGCCAAAAGGGCAAACTTTCTTTTTTAAGTGAGAGGAAAAAAAAACCTGTTTCATTCTTCTAACAATCGTGCCTCTACACTATGTATGTATTTCCTGTGCTTTTTTTCCACATTTAAGAATTTGAATTTCAACAAAATACTCGAGAACAGGTTACAGATACTACAGATTGTTGCCCCCCCCCCCCTCCCCACAAGAAACAAAATGGGTCTGAGTACGAAATCTAGAACACATTATTTAGGAGGCGGGCTTTGATCATGCTTGCCACGGCCAACCCAGGCTGATAAGCTGAGAGGGAAATTACATCTTAGCAGAAAGACCGAGATACCAGATGCTGGAAACAAATGATCCCAACTCGAGAATGGAACTGCAGGGTCTTCTGTGTGTGACGGTAAAGCACCCAACTGCTACCCCAAAGAGGTTGGTCTAGTATACATTAAACCTATTCACTGTTGTAGTTTTTAAGTTTAGCCTGGATTTTCTCCCCCACTTATTGACGTAATAGGGAGACCAACCGAGATTTTCCTAACAAAAACATTTTTTTTTTAAATCCAGAAATTGGACTCCGTGAGACTTGCGAATTTCTGCCAACGCCTAAAACGGAGGAAGCAAAGCTATAAGAACACCCATGTAAACGAATTTCTCTACCTGGCGCGCTGATTGGAGGCACTGTCCTGACCTCCGCAGTTGTCAGTGACACCGCATGCGCAGAAGCCCTTTCCTCCTCCCTCTCCTGGTTCGCCACCGCCCCAGAAAGTCCTCTTGGTTTTGGAACCGTCAGCAGCAGTGATCCAGTAGGATCCTTCGGAGAAAAACTGGTGTGGGGGGGGGGGGGGGGGAGGGGGGAATGAAAGTTACTTCAATCCATAATTTAATCCATAGCTTTATTTTTACAGACATCCATACATCAATCCGTCTTTTGATCCATTTCAGGATTCATTAAGACATCAATACTCCAACACATTTTTGTATCCATATCTGGATTTACACCGTCAATACTTCAATCCATCTTGTCTCCACACCTGGGTTCAGCCAGATATCTTTACATCAATCCATCTTTTAACCCATACCTAGATTTATCCAGACATCGATATATCAAATCCATCTTTGAATCCTTATCGGCATTTATTCAGACATTAATACATCTATCCATCGCTAAATGTGTACCTGGATTTATTCTGACATCGATACGTTTATCCATAGTCCATATTTGGGAAAAAACACCACTGAACAACAGTTAGGTAATATTAGATAAACTATAGGATTAAAGTGACAAAAGCAGGCACAATGAGAAGGTGAATGATGAGAGGGACAGCAACTAGGAAAGAGTTATGTTATTATTCTAGTTATGTCCCTTGCAACGGAAGCTGACTTGACCGGCCACACGTACCCCAAGAAGGCCAAATTCCTCAACAATCTTCGGTTTTCGACCCTCTTTCTCTGAAGCCT